AGTGCTTCATCCGGCTTTCTGCCTGCCTGCGAGTTGGCAGTGGCTATGTCTGAGCAGACACAAGCACTGGTGAGCCTGGCACAGCTGACGTCTAATGTGGATCGTTTGTGGGCTGGAGTTGTGACGTGGAGGGTTAAGCTGCTGCCTGCAATATTGGCATTCTGTCTGTACGAGTGTGGTTTCGAGTCCTGTCTGCTCTACTTCCCATCTGGTTCCCTGCTAATGTGCCTGAGAAAGCAGAAGATTGTTCAAATGCTTGGGTGCCTGCCATCCATGTGGGAGACCTGGATAGAGTTCTAGACTTCTGGCTTCGGCGTAGCCCAGCTCTGGCCGTTGTGGCCATCTGGGGAGTGAACCAGCAGATGGAAGATCTCTCTCTTCTCTGTCTTCATCTTCCTTTTTCTTCCTATAATTCTGTCTTCCAAATAAATAATCAATCTTAAAATAGTAAGTAAAGGGGATAATTTTCCGCAGAAATACCCTCATTCATCTTGTCTGCGTCAAGGGCATCCCCCCTGCCTGTGGCATACCCCTGGGCCCACGTTGTTGGGAAGGGAATTTGGGGATCTTTGGGAGCATTGATAACACTGATTTCTTCATTTGGGTGGTAGTGACATATCTGTTCATTTTATAATTATTTATTCAGCCGTTCATGTGTTTTAGTCACATGACTCTGTGATTTAGGTTAAAACATGAAGCTGCTAATAGTGGGCCGTTTCTCCAATGATAAAAGTCGCAGTTTGCTGTGATTCAGTATATATTACACAAGGATGTCATAAAATTAGGTAGCGGAAATGTCATCAGATATATCAGCCATCACAGAAGTATTTAGGTCCCGAAGAGGCATTTGTGTGATTTAGGCATTGCTGGTAATTATAGTAGCTACTCCACTAAATAATGATCTTTATTTTTTAAAGAGTCTTCAAAAAGTTCATAAAAACATATTCTGACAAAACTAGGCATGGATTGCAAAATTTTTGCACCAAAATAAATTTCCCTCTTTCTGCAAACATTTTGAAGGGTCCTGCTAAAGTGTGGTGATCAGTGCTTTCTCTCCACAACCAGCCAGGCATGGCTTTCACCTTCTACCCTCGCAGGTACCAGCTGGATGGCCTTGAGATCCCTGTTTCTCCATGGGAAAATGAGGCTGGTAAAAGAATCTGCAGCCCGGGATGGCTGGGGAGACCGTGTTTGCTAGTATCTTCCTTTCCAGCTGCGTCTCCCACAGCTGGCAATCCTTGGGATTCGATGTGCTGCATATTCAGGACTTCTTTTCCCTTCTCTGGGTGAGCAGGTGCTCCCTTGTGTCACTGTGTCTCTGTGTATGCTGCTTTCCCTTTCCAGAATGTTCTTCCCCCATGCATTTGTCTCCCCGCGGTGGAGATCTCCTGTGTCTTGATTTCTTACTTGCCCTTGACATCTTGAAAGGGAGTCACAACTGTGGACCCTTTCACACTCTTGTGGAGCCCTGGCGCTTCCCTTTGTCACATAGCTGTAAGTCAGAGGAAGTGGCAGGATGGCCTGAGCTGGGCAGGAAATGTTCCACCTGGGCAGGAAACGAGAATGTTTTTGCCCATCATGGGCCCAGCTCATAGTTGGTGCTCCAGGAATATTGACGAAGGAAGAGTCTTGCAATCTGGTAGTTCTTACATTTTAAGGCTTTAGTGAGAGACCCGTATTTCTCATAAAGTAATGAAGTGGGAGGGCAGCACTGTGGCTCCATCGGTGAAGCTGCTGCTCGTAGCACTGTTACCCATATCAGAGTTCCAGTCCCAGCTGCTCTGCTTTCTTCCCATCTCCCTGCTACTGCGCCTAGGGAAGCTGCAGAAAGTAGCCCACACACTTGAGCCCCTGCTTCCTGTGTGGCGGACACGGATAGAGTTTCTGGTTCCTGGTACCAGGCCCAGCCCTGGCCATTGTGGGCATTTGGGAAGTGAAACAGTGGATCAGTGGCTGGAAACCTCTCTCTCATTCTCTCTTTCTCTTCCACACAAATAAAATAAGCCTTAAAAAACATGTGTGCACATATGTTGCATGAGAGTCATTGACAAGCCCATCAATTTTTGAAAACTTTCCCCTGAGTATTTTGTGCAAACTACTGGTTAGAGAGTGTGGTACAAAGATTAAGAGCAAAAATCCTGTCATATGTCTCAATTCATGCTCAACTTGTCATGTGTCTGCTCTGTGATCTTGGAAATGCTACTTTTTCTTTTTTTTTATAAAGATTTTATTATTTATTATTTGAAAGTCAGAGGTACACAGAGAGAGGAGAGCTAGAAAGAGAGAGAGAGAAGTCTTCTATCCGCTGGTTCACTCCCTAATTGGCCACAACGGCTGGAGCTGCGCCGATCCGAAGCCAGGAGCCAGGAGCTTTTTCTGGTTCTCCCACAGGGGTGCGGGGGCCCAAGGACTTGGGGCATCTTCTACTGCTTTCCCAGGGCACAGCAGAGAGTTGGATCAGAAGTGGAGCAGCCGGGACTTGAACCGGCGTCCATGTGGGATGCCAGCACTGCAGGCCAGGGCATTAACCTGCTGCACCACAGCGCCGGCCCCGGAAATGCTACTTTTTCTGAACTTCAATTTCTACACTGTAAGCTATACATTAAAAATAATACCTGACTGCCATGGAATTATGTCCTCCCAAAATTTATATGCTGAAATCCTGACTCCCTGAACCTCAGAATGTGACCTCCTTTGGAGATTCTTTACAGAGATGATCAAGTTCAAGTGATGGTCTTAGAGTGGGTCCTCACCCAGTTGTTCTGGTGCTCTTGGAAAGAGGGGCGAGCTGGACACAGGCAAACAGTAAAAGGGAAGACAACTGAAGAGACACAGGGAGCAGATGACATTTCATCTCTGAGCCCAGGAGAGAAACGTCCAAGAGCTCCTTCTCCTGGAGCCCAGGAAAGAACCAAGCCTTCCTCCACCCTGACTGCACTTCTGGCCTCCAGCACTGTGACGGGGAAATTTCTGTTGCTTACACCACCCAGTCTGTGACATGTTGTTTCTGCTGGATTAGTCAGCTTAATATACAATGACGCTATGTCTTGCATCATCCCATAGGCTCAGTGACTTACAGCAGAAAGAAAGTATTTCTGTTTCTTGCTCATGGGCTTGTGGGTTGGCTGCGGTTCTTATAGACTCTATGCCAATCGAGTTCAGATCTACTCCTGTGTTTCTGTCATTCTGGGAATGGCAGCCATTTGGGGCATGGACCCCTCTTGGAAGAAGGCAGAACAAGAGGCCAAGGTACATGAGGCAAGCCCACTGCAAATTTCTCATGGCGTTATGCCTGCCAAGTTAAATCTCCTAGCCAAGCCTGCTACAAGTAGGAACACACACACTCTCAACTCTAGTGGGAGATGTGGAAAATCCCAGAAAACAAAGGGGATGACAATAATCCAATTGACCACAGCATGTAACCACCACAGGACTGTCTTGGTTACATTAGATTTTCCACATGGAGCTCTTAGCAAAGTACCTGACACTTGATAAATGGTTGTGGCTATTATTATTGTTGTTGTTTTTATTCTTGAACAAATTCTGGTGTTTATCTTCCATTGCAAGTCTACATGGATATTTTCTTTCCAAACAAGCAGAATTAGCTGAGCGAATTGCATTAATATCTGGTTAAGTAAAAGTCTCTGTAGACCGCGTTCTTGCAGCTGTGATTAATTCTTTTAAATTCTTTTAAATTGCATGTCTGCTTCACTGGATTGGAACAGAGATATGATTTCAGGCTTATGTTTCTCGTTAGGACATTGAGGCCACAATTAAATGTCTTTTTTTTTCCTTTGAAAAAAAAATCAAAGACTCTTAAAATGGATTGTTGTGAAAGGACACATAAATATGTTTTAATCGATATTTGAATTCTCCAAAGCACCATCAAGACAGAGTGTTAACTGTTCTGATTAAATTTGTGATTGGTTAAGCTAGAAATCCATGCAGTTGCATGTCACATGTATTTAATAGATAGCATGTAAGGTATCTTAATTGTACTCATCTATCACTTCCCTCCATTTCTAGATGTATAAAGTTATCAAAATCTGGAAACTCAAACATTTTCATTTCCACAGGCTTGGGTAGGCTTTGTTCTCTGGCTCTCTTGCTGCATTGGGTCTGGTTTTGAGTTAAATATTTCTGACACAACCTTCGTGACTCATTTACATTTAAATAGTAACAGGAAATCTCTTTGCCAAGAAGGCTATTGAAATCAAATTTTAGACCAGATCTCATTTTTTTAAAAAAGGCTTTATTACTTATTATTTTGTACATAAAAATACTCTTTGCTTTCTTCTTTGCAAATCTAAGCATTATAGGCAGTGTACAAGTTTTCCATTTTTCATCTTGGCCACTTATTGCTTCTGATGCTCATAATTTATAACAGTTGCCATAATCTCAAAAATTAGAAATGGTGTTCTGAGATGTTCATTGCTTCAGCTATTGAAATTTTGTGAAAGGGAGCTTGAAGTGTAATGCATGCCCTTGAACTTGTTGTTGCAAGTTGAATAGAATCTCCTCGTAGGAGAGTCTATAATTATAGGAAAGGTGATAAAATCAAGTAGATTCCTAATCAGCAAAGTGAAGTGTGGCTTATAAACAGCCGGATGATGAGATGATCAAGAGCAAGTCTTTATAGCTGGGAAGACAAGAATCTTCAAGAGAGGCTCAGAAGGCAAAAATTCCCAGGCCTCCAGTTGGATTTCACCCGACCACACTGCCTCATATCCCCAGGAATTCTTTTGGAAAGGAATTAGAATCAGAAGGCATCTTCCCAGCTTGTAAACCAACGTCAGTGGCATCAGTTTAGTTAGACGTTGTTATTCTAGATGTCTGTGGGAGGAAGAACAAACTCATTGTGTGCTGAGATCTCGTCATGATTCTCCCTGGATTAGATTTTTAGAAAATGCTTGATAAGATCTTGCTTAGTAACTTGAATTTATTGAATATTTCGTCTGTAGCAGGCATTCAGTGCCTGCACCATTTAGTTCATTGTATTCTTTTTTTTTTTTTTTATTTATTTATTTATTTTTTTTTTTGACAGGCAGAGTGGACAGTGAGAGAGAGAGACAGAGAGAAAGGTCTTCCTTTGCCGTTGGTTCACCCTCCAATGGCCGCCGCGGCCGGCGCGCTGCGGCCGGTGCACCGCGCTGATCCGATGGCAGGAGCCAGGAGCCAGGTGCTTTTCCTGGTCTCCCATGGGGTGCAGGGCCCAAGCACCTGGGCCATCCTCCACTGCACTCCCTGGCCACAGCAGAGGGCTGGCTTGGAAGAGGGACAACCGGGACAGAATCCGGCGCCCCGACCGGGACTAGAACCCGGTGTGCCGGCGCCGCTAGGCGGAGGATTAGCCTAGTGAGCCGCGGCGCCGGCCCTCATTGTATTCTTTCCAGAAGCCATTGGAAGTAGATCATATTATTCCCATTTTCAGAAGACAAAACTGAGGCCTGAGGAGGCTGGCCGCTATGCCAGGAGAGGGAGCTGAGAGGAAAACCTTGGCCGCCACCCTAGAGAGCCCACGTTCTTAATTACTACGCTTGTTCTCAACCATCTCCTGTCTGTCCTTCCCGCAGCACCCCTTATTTTTTCCCTCAGGTGTTTATGTAGACATCAGGGAGGGCTGCAGAGTCCTAGGCTCGGGGGATAAAGCCGGTTTACTACAGAGAGGGTGGACGCTTGTCTTCAACAAGCTGATCATCTCTTGTAGGACACAGACAATAAGCAAGTAGGCAAATCCTGATGGTGTGACATACTATCACAGTGAAGCCAAATGAGGGGCTAAAGATCCAGGAGAACACTGGTGGCAGAAATACTTTCAACGAAGAATACCAAGGTCTTTAAAATCTCATAGACTCACTTGCTGGGAAGCCAGTAAGTGTGTTCTACCCATGTCTAAGCTCTAATCTGGAATGTTCCAGAATGTTCTAGGTCTTTTTACCCTAGCGGATACAGATGTAGAAAGTGTCAGCCAGTAGACAGCATCTCTAAGGACCACAGGACCAACCCTGGAACTTTTTTGCTTTGTTCCTGTTCTCCCCCTCCTCCCACCCTCCCTTTGAAAGTCCTGGCTGCAAGATGCAGTGAATCAGTGGCTTTCTCCCTGATTGGAAAGGCTCTGTCCTGGGGTTGCTCCTCGAAATACTGACCAGGAACAGCTGCCATTGAGAAGATTAGGTAGGGGACTGGAAAAAAAAGACTGTTGGGTGAGAGAAACTTAATATCAGCCCCTTAATACTGAAAAAAATATATATAAGATGCAAACTGCGCCACTCACTTATTACTTCCTTTTCTCATCTGCCCGGGTCAATGCCATCGGCCCAGGTCAACTCCAGTCAAGGCTGAGCGTTGTTAGGGTGGGAATTTAGCCGGGGAGGGGAGTGACTGGTAGTAGACGCTACCCCAAGTGCAGGCTCTGAGCCTCCTTAGAGGCTGCTCTGAGCACGGTTCGAGGATTCTGAGGTCTCAATGGGGCTTGGAGGCAAGAACGCTGTAGTCAGTGAGCACCAGGCAGGCAGAGGGCTCTGGGAAACGTGTGGTGGAAATGACTACACTCTGACTCCTGTGGCGTGATGGAAGCACAGTCAAGCGGTATCACTAATGGACTTAAAGTAACGACCTTTTTTTCCCTTCCTCCCTCTCTCCCTTTCTCCTCTTCCATTTCCTCCTTACCTCCCTTGTCCCTCCACCCCAGGCAGTACAATACGACATGGAGAGTACAAGTTCCGGAGTGGGACTCCCTGGCTGCCGATTCTGGCTGTCACATTCTGCGTATGTGATTCCTGTGCTCTTCTGTCTTTGGCTTCCTTCTGTGCCGTGTGTACAGTGATGCTTTCTCGAGCCTCTCAGATTTGATCTCCAAGAATGTTCCCTTGAGGACTATCTCTCAGTATGTGACACACATGCCACCGGTGGTAAGTTTAGTGACATTAGGTGTTGTGCCAATGAAGCATTACATCACACTACCCTCCAGAGAAATATGTTCGTCGTCTTTTGTTGTTTCTGTTGGAATCCTTCTAAGAACTCAAGGGGAAATCCTGAATGTAGAATTCTTCCCTCTACCACCTCTTAACCCTTGCTTATCTACTGTAGTAGGCTCAGCGCTAATAGGCTATTAGGCTCAGACCCTCAGTCTGGTAGGGCCACCTCTAGCCTGAAATGAATGATGTCATTTGCACCTCATTGCGTTTTGGAATTACTTTCCTTTATGGCAAGCAGGACTAGTTTTATAGTGAGGGAGACAGAGCCAAGTTTCCTTTCACGTTCCTGTATAAACACAAAGAGTGAGTCTATTTAAGGAAAACATTCCCAGTACAAGCAGAAGAGGAAACTGTGGCCACTTTGAAATGCGACACACAAATTGGCAGTGTTCTGGTGTGTGCGACAGGTGGATGGGGAAGGACACCAGAGATGGGGCGACAGCTCAGGAGCAGGTCAGGACAGGGTTGTCTCTGTGCAAGCCACATTGGGCCTTCCGTCCCTGCCACTAGTGAGGCACTCTGTCCCACCTGAAACTTTCCCCTGGCTCTAGTTCTCGGTCCCATTTCCATGTCCCTTCACCCCTTCAACCAACTGTGTCCGTGTTTTTCTTATTGGTTCTCCTAGGGTGGTATTCGATGTCCGCTGAGCTCATATCGCAGGCTGATATTGGCTGGATTGTGTGAGTGGCGGCTGCGTACCTGTGGGACCACAGGCCCCACACCACAACACAAGCCCCTGTATATGTGATTTGGTGTCACTCTTTGCCTTTCAAATAAATAAAGTAAATCTTTTTTTAAAAATAACATTATAATACTTATCTCAGAGTGAGCCTTCCATGCAAAGTGCTTTATAAAGTACTGAAAAAGACTGGGAATAGAGATTTGGCTTTAGTAGAGGCCAGATGTTTTGATTCTCTAGGGGTCTGTGTGCTCACAAAGAGGGGTAGATGTGCTAGAATTCCATGGAGACCTGCTGTCATTGTTACACACCTGGGTGGAGGAGCCATGAGACCTGTAGCTCTCAGTCACCTCTCCACACTGAAAGAGCTTAATGGCTGTTAATGGCCAGTTGCCTTCGATTATCTCACAGCAAGAGAGCAATAAACACGATGGTTGAAGAAGGACCTGAATGGAAGAGGCGGTGATGAGTTAAAGAATACTGAGATGCCGTCAGCAGTTCTTGGTGATTGATTTATTTGGATGTGAAGGAGGAGGCCAAGACGACCTAGGTGTGGGTCCTGGGAACAGGTTTTGAGGTGTGGGTTAGTTGAAGGAGGCTTATTATTCCGTCTTGTAAACCAGGCAAGTCCTTGGATGTATTAGGAAGCAGACAATGTTAGTCTTTGATAACCTCTCACCTGTCTTTCACTGGGTCCCATTGTCTAATCCGCCATCCTCAGGCCTCTTTCTTAAATTACATCCTACCTGTCTGCTGTGCGGTGACCTCTGGCCCCTCATCTTCGTCTTCCAGAAAAGGCACTATGGTGCCGTCTATTTCCCCAAGTTACGTTGGGAAGATGATGGCAGGAAGTCCCACAGCGCCCCAACTCATGTGAATAAATCTGTGGTTTCTAATAAACTTTAACCGTTGACTGAACTTTAGTCCTTATTAGAAATTCACCAACATTTTTCCCTCTACCGACATTTTTCTGTGGGGATCCCACCCAGATTACCTGGGCTGCAGGTAGTGGTCAGTGCTCTTTAGTCTCCTCGCTCTCCGGCAGGTCTTTGGTCTTTTCTTGCTTTCCACGACCTTCACACTTCTGAGGAGTACTGGTCAGTTATTTACAGCCCTAGATTTGGGTTTCTGTAGTATTTTCTTGCAGTGGAACGTGGTTTACATTTTTGGTAAGAACGTCACAAAAACATTGTGTCCTCTGTTGATCTAAAGAAGGTGTTCATGATGATGGGGTGTCATTACAAGAGATGCTTTCCTTGATGGCAAGGTCAAGCTTCTTTGCTTGTAAAGTTGCTCTCCCCTCCCTTTTTTATATTATTTTAGGCGTTATAGGTATTTAAAAAATATATAGCATTTAAGCCTCCAACTTAAAACTTAATTCTGCCACACAATGTTTATCTCTAATCATTTAAGTTACTGAAGAGCTTTCTTTCACTACGGTGAAGGGAAATAGCATGCAGCCCTTGGATTTAATGTTTTGTTTTGTATAGCATATACATGACAATTTACTTACCTCATATCTCTTACTCAATCTTCTCAGTCTCTCCATCAGACCTAAATATTTCTGTTAATATATTTTATTTGAAAATTTAATTTAAATTGGCATAGAAAAATGGGTTGGGACACAGTATTTTAATACATTTTTCCCCAAAGAAACCTTTATTTAATGAGTACAAATTTCGTAAGTACAACTTTAGGAATATAGTGATTCTTCCCAATATACCTGCCCTCCCGCCACACACCCACCCCACCTCCTCTTCCCTCTCCCATTCCCAGTCCCATTCTCCATTGGCATTTATTTTCAATTAACTTTATACACAGAAGACTAGCTCTATACTAAGTAAAGATTTCAGCAACTTGCACACATAAACACATACGCATAAAACTGTTTGAAAACAAGTTTTACAGTCAATTCTCATAGCACAGCTCATTGAGGACAGAGGTCCTGTATGGGAAAAGTTAAATGCATAGTGACTCTGTTGTTAATTTAACAATTAACACTCTTTATGTATGATGTCAGTGATCACCCGAGGCTCTCAACATGAGCTGCCAAGGCTATGGAAGCCTTTTGAATCCACAGTCTCCATCAGTATTTAGACAAGGCCATGACAAAATGGAAGTTCTCCCCTCCCTTCCGAGAAAAGTACATCCTTCTTTGATGGTTACTTCTTTCCACCTGGGCCTCACTCACAGAGTTCCTTCATGTAGGACATTTTTTTTGCCACAGTGTCTTGGCTTTCCATGCCTGAAATGCTCTCATGGACTTTTCAGCCAGACCAGAATGCCTTAAGGGCTGATTCTGAGGTTAGAGTACTATTTAGAGTGATTGTCATTCTGAGTCTGCTGTGTGGACTGCTTCTCATGTTAGAACATTCTCTCCTTTTTAATTCTATCTATTATTATTACCAGACACTTGATCATATTTATATGATCCCCTTTAACACTTAATCCTATCTATATGATTACTTTAACACTTAATAGGATCACCTTAACACTTAAGATGGCATTGTTACCACCCAGCTTAATGGAATTTGGGGTCTCATGGCAAGTTTTTAAACTGTACC